GAATGCGATGCCTTTTACAGTTGGATTCATTGATATAAGTATGGGAGAATGCGATGCCTTTTACAGTTGGATTTATTGATATAAGTATGGGAGAATGCGATGCCTTTTACAGTTGGATTCATTGATATAAGTATGGGAGAATGCGATGCCTTTTACAGTTGGATTCATTGATATAAGTATGGGAGAATGCGATGCCTTTTACAGTTGGATTCATTGATATAAGTATGGGAGAATGCGATGCCTTTTACAGTAGGATTCATTGATATAAGTATGGGAGAATGCGATGCCTTTTACAGTTGGATTCATTGATATAAGTATGGGAGAATGCGATGCCTTTTACAGTTGGATTCATTGATATAAGTATGGGAGAATGCGATGCCTTTTACAGTTGGATTTATTGATATAAGTATGGGAGAATGCGATGCCTTTTACAGTTGGATTCATTGATATAAGTATGGGAGAATGCGATGCCTTTTACAGTTGGATTCATTGATATAAGTATGGGAGAATGCGATGCCTTTTACAGTTAGATTCATTGATATAAGTATGGGAGAATGCGATGCCTTTTACAGTAGGATTCATTGATATAAGTATGGGAGAATGCGATGCCTTTTACAGTTGGATTCATTGATATAAGTATGGGAGAATGCGATGCCTTTTACAGTTGGATTCATTGATATAAGTATGGGAGAATGCGATGCCTTTTACAGTTGGATTTATTGATATAAGTATGGGAGAATGCGATGCCTTTTACAGTTGGATTCATTGATATAAGTATGGGAGAATGCGATGCCTTTTACAGTTGGATTCATTGATATAAGTATGGGAGAATGCGATGCCTTTTACAGTTAGATTCATTGATATAAGTATGGGAGAATGCGATGCCTTTTACAGTAGGATTCATTGATATAAGTATGGGAGAATGCGATGCCTTTTACAGTTGGATTCATTGATATAAGTATGGGAGAATGCGATGCCTTTTACAGTAGGATTCATTGATATAAGTATGGGAGAATGCGATGCCTTTTACAGTTGGATTCATTGATATAAGTATGGGAGAATGCGATGCCTTTTACAGTTGGATTCATTGATATAAGTATGGGAGAATGCGATGCCTTTTACAGTTGGATTCATTGATATAAGTATGGGAGAATCCGATGCCTTTTACAGTTGGATTTATTGATATAAGTATGGGAGAATGCGATGCCTTTTACAGTTGGATTCATAGATATAAGTATGGGAGAATCCGATGCCTTTTACAGTTGGATTTATTGATATAAGTATGGGAGAATGCGATGCCTTTTACAGTAGGATTCATTGATATAAGTATGGGAGAATGCGATGCCTTTTACAGTTGGATTCATTGATATAAGTATGGGAGAATGCGATGCCTTTTACAGTTGGATTTATTGATATAAGTATGGGAGAATGCGATGCTTTGTGGTTTCTTTGTTTTGTGTTTCAGGTCATGTTAATGGTATTGGGTGGTAATATATTTGCCTTCTTTGAACCAATCAATATCAAATGACATAACTGTCAAATTATGACTTGTTCAACTTACAGCAGATTTTCAAACTTTTTATTGGTTTTAGCTATTATGTAATCATATTTTCTTTGCTGCTTCTAAAAATCTTGGTATAACGGAAGCAGAGAATGAAAGCAGAATAAAGCTTTGGCTAAAGTACAGTGGAGTAAAGCACGATCCAAGAAGAAAAGTTTGTACAGTGCGAACCTCTCTCCTCTGTAAGAGTCAATTAAACAGCAAATTTGTTTCAAGTCAGCAGGACTTGCTCCCCTCTTTTTAAAAGTTACCGGCAACTCTCCAAACTTACTGACCTGAAAAGTTGGAACTTGTTGAGCATAATTATTTTGTTATTTATTGAAGGATATTGTGATATTGTGATAAATGAAATTGCATTTTGATTGGAAGATCTGTTGAATACGTAACATACTCAAACTTTCATTATTTCAGGTCAACCATCTTGGCCCATTGGTGGTATGACATCATCGGGCGAATAATGACTGTCATTCACAATAGTTTGGCCTGCTGCTATAATTGGATGGGAAGGGGGCGAAACATGCCTTCTCTGAACTTGTCCTGGCTCATGCTGTAAAAGTTTGGTTGTTGGTTTGTTGTTTAACGCCGCACTCAGCAATATTCCAGCTATATGACGGCGGTCTGTAAATAATCGAGTCTGGACCAGACAATCCAGTGATTAATATCATGAGCATCGACCCACGCAATTGGGATCGATGACATGCATCAACCAAGTCAGCGAGCCTGACCACCCGATCCCGTTAGTCGCCTTTTACCATGCTGTAAAAGGTATCATTCGTAAAGATATATGTAATCCAGAAACAGGGTAATATTAACAGAGGTTTTTACACTGATAAGTCATATTTTTCCACATAGCACCACATCGTGTGATATTTCTGTATGCTGTGACATGATAACCAATTATTTGTATAAAAGAAGCATTTCAACTTTTTTTTCCAAGACTAATAAAAAGATTCAGAATGAGATATATGTTGTGCCTGAAAAGTAAATATTTTTCAAAAAGGATTGTTATTCTCTTAACAAAAATGGGTTGTTTTGGTTGGTTGTTGGTTTGTTGTTTAACGCCGCACTCTGCAATATTCCAGCTATATGACGGCGGTCTGTAAATAATCGAGTCTGGACCAGACAATCCAGTGATTATTATCATGAGCATCGATCAACCCAATTGGGATCGATGACATGTGTTAACAGGATCTTGTTCAGAAAGATAACTTGGTTGACAATTTACAATTATTTGTTGTATCAAAGTCTTTTGTACCATTTTTTACATCAGTGTTTGGTGGCTCTCATTTGAGTGAGTGAGTGAGTGAGTTTGGTTTAACGCCGCTTTTAACAGTATTCCAGTTATATCACGGCGTGTCAGCTTAATGTGGGAGGAAAGCCCGAAGTGATTCAAGTCTTAGACGTTTACCACTTCGGTGAAACCCACGAGGACGGGTATGGTGCTGAGAAACCTAGAAACATAATCGGGGAGAATCTCATTTGAAAGTATACCTTTTTACCCTATCATTTTCATGGAATGTTGTATGTGGTCATGTTAATTGTTTGTTACATTTCTTTTTCAGCAGCACAGGTGGTGACACATGATACAGAAGAAAGAGTTTGTGAGTCATCAAACGAGGACAATTGAACAAATTTCAATGAATAAATATGTCCTCAACCAGAGTTTTCTATTGTCATTATTTTGCTGTAATGTTTACTGTATTTTGATTTAATGGAGGCAATGTAATACTATAGGCGCCTTTGCTTGTCTCGATCCTACTCTGAATGCTGTACAGTGATTATGCTGGACACAAAGTAATGTCAAAGGATTTTTCTTTTGATAGGACATCTGAAACCCTGCTGTTTATATGTAGGGTGAGTGAGTGAGTGAGTTTATGCTTTACGTCACATCGGCAATAGGGTGACACCAATGAAGATTACGATGTTACACTTCATTTTGTGGGATGAATTGTCCAATGGCGTTTGCAACTTCTGGGTAAAATATTAATCTTTAAATTGCACTTGAATGATTTGGAAATATTTTGATACAGTTGATCATCCCGTGTTTAGTTCTTATGACCCGTGAAGATTCCGGGGTAGAATAGGTCTTCAGCAACCCATACTTGCCGTAAAAGGCGACTATGCTTGTCGTAAAAGGCGGCTTACGGGATCATATGGTCAGTCTCGCTGACTTGGTTGATACATGTCATCGATCCCAATTGCGTGGATCGATGCTCATGATGTCAATCACTGGATTGTCTGGTCCAGACTCAATTATTTACAGACCGCCGTCATATAGCTGGAATATTGCTGAGTGCGGCGTAAAACAACAAACCAACCAACCAAAAGCCAAAAGTATATAGAATATACACATACCGTTTCGAAAGTGTCTTACATGTCATGTTCTTTTGGATGATGTTGGAAGACAGCAGTATATACCGCTCACATACATGTACATCACACATAGAACCCATGACTCATGTTATCTGCCCTTTAATATCAGATATTCTATGTTTCCCTATACCAAGCTATGGAAGTAGGAGGAGGTTTTAGTATGGGATTAAATATATTGACGGAAAGCCTTCTGCAGCGACAAAAAAACACAAGAGAAAACGTGTTAAGTTTAGGCCTTCAAGACATTTACTAAATAAATAGTGTTCAAATGATTCACCAACATTCCACATCTTCTCTGAGGTCGAGTGAGTGAGTATGGTTTTACGCCGCTTTTAGCTTCACACGTTGTGCCTTTGTTGGTTTGTTGTTTAACGCCGCACACAGCAATATTCCAGCTGAATATGACGGCGGTCTGTAAATAATCGAGTCTGGACCAGACAATCCAGTGATTTATATCATGAGCATCGATCCACGCAATTGGGAACGATGACATGCATCAACCAAGTCAGCGAGCCTGACCACCCGATCCTGTTAGTCACCTTTTACCGCAAGCATGGGTTGCTGAAGACCTATTCTACCCCGGAATCTTCACGGGTCAGCTATGGAAGTAGGAGACATTGTTTTAGTATTTGAATAGATATATGGGCGGAAAGCCTTCTGCGGAGACAAAAAAGCACAAGAGAAAACGTGTGTAGTTCAGGCCTTCAAGACATTTACTATCGTCAGTTTACAAGGACACTTCCAACGACATCACATCAGGCTACCATTGTGTCCAGTTGGATCTTTTGTCCTGAAAAAGAGCAGACAAAATGTCACATTCAAGACATGTCATGTTTCAGAGCATTGGATCACACACTTTGGATCACACATCAAACTTACTCGCAAATAGCCCAACAACTATCAACTGAAAATGTATACACTCAGAGATATAGATCGTTTACAGTGTGTGTAAATGCATTGGCAAATTAATGTCTTTTTTAAAGTAGAAATTAGAAAAAAAACAATATTAAATGAGAAGTACAATGATACGTATGAAAAGGAAAGATGTATTTGCTTAGTCGTTATACTTTGTAATCCTGCTGTTGTCTATTTCACGTTCATGCCCTTGGCTTTCGAACTGAAAGAGAAAAGAAAATATTTAATTGTGATGGAAAGTTTGTTAGCTTGCTTGTTGTTTAACCCCGCACACAGCAATATTCCAGCTACATGACAGTGGTCTGTACAAAATGAAGTCTGGACCAGGCAATTCAGAGATTGACATAATGAGCATCGATCTACGCAATAGAGATACGATGACATGCATCGACCATGCCTGCGAGCCTGACCACCCCATGCCGTTAGTCGTCTCTTACGACAAGCATGGGTTGCTGACCCGGATCTTCACTTGTCTATTGGGAGAAAGACACAAGTGGAAATCGTATAGCATACGTCGTACAATGTTCCGTTGAGTGTCAAGGCTAATCTCCTTTGCTTTGGTTTGTTTGTTTGTTGTTTCACGCCGCAGCAATATTCAAGCTAAATGACGGCGGTCTGTAAATAATCGAGTCTGGACCAGACAATCCAGATATTAATATCATGAGCATCGATTCAAGCAATTGGGATCGATGACATGCTTCAACCAAGTCAGCGAGCCTGATCACCCGACCACGTAAGTCGTCTCTTACGAAAGGCATTGTCGCCTTTTACGGCAAGCATGGGTTGCTGAAGACCTATTCTCACCCGTATCTTCACGGATCGTTTACTGTTAACGGTGCATTCGATGCACGTGTACAAAGCGTCAAAACAGGCGAAATCGTTCAAAATGAATAATGTTTACCACATGCAAAAAGGGCCCGTTAAGATCCCCTTTATAATGTGTCTTCAGCAACACATGCTTGCCGTAAAAGGCGATTATATGCTTTTCGTAAGGTGAGGTGAAATTGGGTTTAACGTCGCGTCCAAGATGCTTGTCGTAAGAGGCGACTAACGGGAACTTAGGAAATAGAAGCATTTTGGGTGCTGGAGTGGTACGGAATTCCTCAAACCTTCTTCGCAAAACTTGTCAACTCATTGTGACGACAATAAGCGGCCTGTATCGCAGCTAACGGAGGCCACACACGCTGTCGATGGGCGCGACCGGCAATGCCATTTTGTTCTGTTTTTAGGGGTATTTGTTAATGAAAGCGGTTTTCATCAAACAATCAACGCCCACTTTTTATGAAATGTTTTCTGTTTTCCATAGAATAGGTCTTCAGCAACCCATGCATGCCGTAAATGGAAACTATGCTTTTCGTAACGGGATCGGGTGGTCAGGCTCGCTGACTTGTTTGATGCACATCATCGTATCCCATTTGGCGTGGATCGATGCTCATGACGTCAATCACTGGATTGTCTGGTCCAGACTCGGTTTTTACCGACCGCCGTCATATAGCTTGAGTACTGGTGGGTGGGGCGTTAAACAACAAACCAACCATTTAGCGTGGATCAATGCTCATGATGGCAATCACTGGATTGTCTAGTTATTTAAAGACGGCGTCATATCGCTGGGATATTGAGAAACATTCGAGATGCAGAAATTTCAATAAAGTTTCGCCTATACCTAACGATCGATACTATAAATGATACATAGTTTAATAATACCATACCTCGCATCTCTATTATCTGTCGGAAGACAAGTCCTTGACGGGCTGAAGAAAAGAATGAATGAAATCTAAATTTTAAAAATGTAATATGAACAGTATCATGTTAATCATACAAAATTTATTCATATATAAAGTTAGTAAGTTGTGCATTATGATGTAATTATTTAAATCTTTTAAAAAACAAACAGGTTATAGTCTTGAACAGACTATACTGTCGTCAGCAGGTGACTAACTGTTCGTGTTAAGGCTGCTGATGGTAAAGATCTCATCAACTCAATTGGTCTTATTGAATGCAAAATAAGAATCTGTTTATTGCCCTTTTTTCAGTTTTTAATTGAATGTAAACATGTACATATATTTCCTTAAACAGTCTTCATCGTTTCACACCTTTTAATAATATTATTGAACGATAAAAATGAATTTGTCTTCATGAGAACTTTTTTACACCCTTTCTATGACACATATCAAGCAAAGAATGAAAATGAAATAAACATATATAAAAAAACATATGTCATAGTTCAATGAATATCTAAGCGTAATTCCTTCATGACTGAATTTTCTATGACAGTGAATTTTCTATAACTCAGGAATTTCAAAAGTAAATTGAATGGAAACGACTGAAAATGCATGATATTTACTACAATAAGGCTTCTATATAAAAAAAACAAATGTACAGTGTGAATATTGCAGCATTTTGTAAGTTAGCAATCCAAAGGGCACTTAAATAAGTCACGATATGGCTGAAATACTGTCGATGTGACTAAATCATTACTCACATCACATCACTAAAAATAATATACTCAACAACAAAAGTTCCTGTGACACCAATATTTTAGTGTATTTTTCAAACAAGTAAAGTTTGGTTTTCAATATTGTAGTACATGTATGGAATCAAGTCACAAAAACGCAACTTCTACAGAAAAGCATGCATTCCATGCAAAAGTTGACTTTTATGCAAGCCGAATGCATTTTTACTACCCAAGAAAACATGTGTGTTAACGGGATTCCATATGCATTGTTTAGCATCGTGCTGACAACAACCACTCAGAAAAACAACAAAATTAAGCAATTATTCAACATGACAAAATGCCACGCCTGTCCGAAAATGAGCGTCTGCGAACCATTGGTATGCTTGAAGCAGGATCCAGTCAACGTGATGTTGCAAGATTGCAAAATTTAACGCCCACAGAAACACCATTTGGTGTTTATGGCAACGTTGGCAAAAGACGAATGCAGTCAGAGACCATCCTCGGAGTGGCAGGCCACGCGTAACCAATAATCAACAAGACAACTGGATTCGAACAACACACCTACGAAATCGATTCCAGCCAGCAACAGTGACTGCAAGAAGCATCCCTGGCCTTCGACCAATATCTTCACAAACCGTACGTCGTCGCCTCAGATGTGCAGGGATTGTCGCCAGAAGACCCGCCAGGCGTCCATTTTGAAAGGAAACCACCGTCAAGCACGTCTACAGTGGTGCAGACAACGTCTACGCTGGACGGCCATGCACTGGGGACAAGTTCTATTCACTGACAAGTCTCGTTTTCACCTCAGCCACAGCGATGGACGGATTCAAGTGTACCGACGTCGAGGTGAACGTTACGTCAATCATTGTGTCATGGAAGAACATCGGTACGGGGCCGGCAGCGTTATGGTATGGGGTGGCATAACAGCAAGAAGGAGGACCCGTTTGATAGTGGTAGAGGGAAATCTCAATGGTCAGCGGTACCGCGACGAGATCAACGGCCCTGTTGTTCTACCGTTTTTGCGTCGTCATGGCCCAGGCCTTACCTTTCAACATGACAACGCCCGGCCTCATATTGCTCGACTTGTTCAGGATTCAATTTGCATCATCAGTGGAAATGGCTTATAATTTGCCAGTGTTAGTTTAAAGAGATTTGTATTTATAGGATGTGTGTGAAGTTTCATGTTTGTATTCTCTGATGAATAATTGGACATTATTTCTCTATTTAGTGTTGTTAGTTATATAAACCTGATACTCAAAGAGGTCACGTGCAGTTGCCTTGTACATATTTTTTTCTTGTCAACGTACTCACCTGTCAATGAAATCAAATACTTTATGAAAATTATATAGTTGGACATCAATGCCCCCGTACCAAATCCATGGGATAATCAGGGTTTAAAACATTCCCTTGTTTCCAGATAATATTTCGATTGCTGCATGTGGACGTACCTTGTTTGTTGTCTTCACCAAAAACTGAAAGAAGTAATAAAGTAACAATACTGAATCAGTGTCTCTAATTAAAACATGGATGGATTTGTCAATATATAGCTAATTTGTTCAAAGACATTCCTCAATGACTATTGTCAGTATTGTCTCGCCATCTTCTATACACATAACAACCAGACAATGTTCTGTATGTGTATAATAGTCATTCCTATAATTCATTGAGGAATTTATGTTAAGTTACTAGATTTCAAATAGGTCAATTCAAATAGAATTGTGCAAAATAGAAAATGTTATCCAAAGGTCATATTGAACAGTGTATCGAGTGACTGTTTGCCATAAAATCTTAGTTAAGGTTATGTGTTTTGAAAGTCGTGTTGAAATACACATTCTTTTACACAAAATTCTTTTTAACATAAAACTTATGTTTAATCTTAACTGGAGTCTCTGATTTTGCCTTTCCTCTATTATCAAGCTGACGATCTATGACAGTGAGTGAGTGAGTATGATTTTATTTCGCTTTTAGCAATATTCCAGCAATATCAAGGCGGGGGACACCAGAAATGGGTGCACACAATGTACCAATGTCGGGAATCGAACCCGGGTCTTCGGCATGACGAGCAAACGTTTTAACCACTAGGCTACCCGACCGCCTCCAATCTACGACAGTACCAAACATTGAAAAACACATGAAGTTCCTACTCTGTCTCGTCTTTTCAACATTTTCAAATACTTCTTGTCCATCTTCTCTGCCGACCTACTTTCATTCTTTGCTGGGCGGGTCGGGAAGCCTAGTGGTTAAAGCATTCGCTCGTCACGCCGAAGACTCAGGTTCGATTCCCGACATGGGTACAATGTGTGAAGCCCATTTCCCTTTGTCCCCCACCCGGATATTGCTGGAATATTGCTAAAAGCGGTGTAAAACCAAACTCACTCACTCACTCACTCATTCGTTGCTAGTTCGTACCTGTTAACAGTCCTTTGAATATTCCTAGTACTGAAAGAGAGAAATAGTGTTACCCATCAATCCGAATCAGAAGATTTTATAATCAGAATGAAAGTCATGCTTCGGTTTATAATACCCCTTCATATGAAGAATAAGGAAGACTTTTAAACATATTACATAAACTCATACATCCCTTAATTATGAGTCCTGGTTCTCATTATTACAGGTATATACCTCATCATACATTTGCAAACATGGGTATGACATGCAAACGTGACAGCACCATATGTTCGTCACATGAAAAGGATTCCCCCGATGACGAAATGTGTCTCCTAAACATGACAGGTGTCAAGTTTCTAATGTATGAAATCGTGTTCTTAGAAACAAACACATGCATTGAAACGCTGCAAACATAACTGTGAAGGCCTCACTGATACCTCTCGCGAATCTTTATAAATTGAGAGGCATAAATTGATAGTGTTCTGTTATTTTAGGAGTAGTTCGAACCTTTAAAACGTCACTATTCGACTTCATAATGTCTTCACACTCACGAGACCCGTGAAGATCCGAGTCAGGATAGGTCTTCAGCAACCCATGCTTGGCGAAAAGGCGACTATGCTTGTCTTAAGAGGCGACAACAGGATCGGATGTTCAGAGTCACTGACTTGTTGATGCATGTCATCGTATACCAATTGCGTGGATCGATGTGCATGATGTCAATCACTGGATTGTCTGGCCCAGACTTGATTATTTACAGACCGCCGTCATATAGCTGGGATATTGCCGAGTGGGGTGTTAGAAAAAACAAACAAACAACAATCAAGCATACTCACGGTCACCCTTGCTGACTTGGGCTCCTCCTACGGTAAGAACTGAAACACACAATTAACTTCAGATGACAGTTGCATTCGTCTTTGACTAATTGACCGGAACCTTGACGATAGAGATGTAACTATATCTATAGTCACAACGTTTAGTGACAAGTGTGAAGGAAGTCATTCCTTAAGTTTGTCACGTGGGAAAGTGGTTTAAGTCTGAGAAGACCCCTGAAGACCCTTACAAAGCACTCGAATCCAATGAGTTTCTCTGGACATGCTGTTAGTTATATGTTCTCTAATATCCTAAGGGGCGGTCGGGTAGCCTAGTGGTTAAAGCGTTCGCTCGTCACGCCAAAGACCCGGGTTCGATTCCCGATATGGGTACAATGTGTGAACCCCATTTCCGGTGTCCCCCGCCGTGATATTGCTGGAATATTGCTAAAAGCGGCGTAAGACCAAACTCACTCACTCACTCACTCTTGTATCCTAATGTACGACGTATGGGTACGACTGTCTGCAACCGTTGGCTCACATCAGAAACACTAACATAAACATTGGCGTCACATATCAAGCGATGTGTTTGCGTTGCCTCACAATACGTACCTCTGAGGAACTCTGTGAGATCAAAGGCTGCAAGAACTGAAAGGAAAATGTAGTGTATAAAACAATCCATTTTATTTGTTTTGTTGTTTTGTAACATTCATTAAGAGGCACCAGGTGTGGCACGATACTTTCCCAACGTAAGAGGACGTACATTATGTGAAGGGAAGAGATTTGTATTTAGATATGCTGTAAAAGATTTGATACATATCTGTAAGCCTCAACTTGATGTGTCAAAAACATGTTTACTTCGTCCTTAGCGGCTATCAGACATATCATTACATATGTCCAAATTACAGATGTGTTCTCTAATCCCCCATAGTGACGTATATGAAAGAATTATGAAAGCAAACAAGTGAAAATATTCAATTTTACATCGATGAAAGGTCGAACAGTCATGGACATATGGTACTTCCAGGTCATTGGGAGTATAATTGTGATCAAAATATTGTTTTGTGGTTGGTGTCATTTGTTACATACTTATTGTACGGTCCTTGGTAGCCAAGCCTCGAAGCACTGAAACCATAAAACAAAATTCAGTTAAGCAAGGAATACAGAAATGTGGTTTAATTTTTAGACAGAACACTGATGTGTATATATTACAATAATAAGTTTTTTACATCACAGTTATACTATATTACGCCACTTTGGAGGTACTATGTATTCAAACAGATCAAGGCTTTTCAAATATACTTCGTTTCAGCAAGTCTTGACAGAATGGCTTACATGGCGTGTGTCCACAATGTTGTGACATTAAAACAATATTACAGAAGCTGATGAAGGAGTAAGCATATACTCCGAAACTTTGTGTTGCCCATAACAAAGAAATTGTCATCATCAATGTATATATTATAATAATAATTTTGTTCACATCACGGTCATACTATATTGTGGTATGTATATATCTATATAAGTACAATAAGATTTTTTTTCACGTCAGTCAAAGTGAATTATGGCTACATAGTGGAATAATGGTCAAGCAAACGAGTGTTGTAGAGTTTAAGCAAATGATCAGTGAATTCTGAAGTGTTATTACTTTTCGTTTGAAAGAAATTCGTACCTAGGTTAGGTTTCTCAATGGTTATCGCCGTAAACCCATGCTTGCCTTAAAAGGTGACTATGCTTGCTGTAAGAGGCGACTAACGGGATCGGGTGGTCAGGCTCGCTGACTTGGTTGAAGCATGTCATCGATCCCTATTGTGTGGATCGATCCCTACTGTGTCGATTGATGCGCATGATATCAATCACTGGATCGTCTGGTCCAGACTCGATTATATACAGACCGCCGTCACATAGCTGGAAAAATGCCGAGTGCGGCACAAACCAACAAACCAAACAACCAACCAACCAACTCAATGGTTGTCGTGCTGTCCCTTTCAGTATATGGCAGCTGAAATTCAACATCATTTGTTCACCTTGGTCATGTTAAAATTCCACAGCTGTAACCATCCACCCTTTTAAACCTTTATGTACCTACCTTTAAGGGTTTTCTTGCTTTCTTGTAATTCTTAAAAAAATACAGAACTTTCAAAAAGACATCACAGCATAATAGAACTTCATTATGAATCGACAAAACGGACATAAACCGGCGTATAGTCATGGATGAATTGTACGTTAAAGAAATTAGTTGGTTGTAAATAATTCAAAATGAGTAAAAGAAATGCGTGTTAGTGCCATCATCCAACGAAAGGATAAATATTGTCTCGTCAAATTATTACCATGCTGTTAAAACATTGGCTGCTTATAGATATTTCATTATTTTCCAGTCGCTTCAATACAATTTACACGGAATGATCTACTCATGACTTATAAAAGCATGACTAAGAGGTGAGTAAGGGGATCAGTGACTTGGTTGCTGCATGCAATCAATCCCAATTGCGTAACTTTACAGACTGCCGTCATATAGCTGGAATATTGCTTAGTGCGGCGTTAAACAACAAACAAACAAACAAATTTGGGACCTAGATATGTCAATGTTAAATAAATTAAACTTTCTTTTTTGCCTTTCTACAATTTATCAGAGGTCAATGAAATGCTACTCCCATAAATAATTATGTTTTTTTCTATATTTCACTGAAAAAGTCGCATATCTGTCATTAAAACAATCCAACATGTTATACTTTTTGTTGCAAGAAATACATAACTGAGAAACGTTGTAATAAACAGTTCAGCTTTATCAAAATATCGGTCTTTTTCTGTGTGGGTCTTCATAACAATAGCTGATCATGTAACTTATGATAGTTATTGGGGGGCACAAAGACAACACATCGATTCATACATACCCTCTTCATCCGAACGAACAGTACCATTTTTAGTTGGTAAGTCAAGTGAAAGAACTGTAAAAATAACGAACGTAGATTAAATAAATAACATTAATAAGAAATGCATGGTGTGCAAATACGTATCGTTTTAGCTTGCCCTTTTCAATGTCTTCAGAAAAAGTTTCAACCAATTCCTTAATTATAACATTAAGTACGTTTTAAAAAGGGTCATAAGTATGAGTATTACGCGTAAAGTACAATAATGTGGATTGAGTTGTGATGTCCGCAGATATATCAGATGAAGTGACGTTTGGACACAGCTTTTTGTCGTTCACTTACGTGTTTTTCGATCCGCCTGATTTAGGTCTTGAACATCTGTAAGACAAACAACACCCATAGAATGACACATACATTAATTCACTCAGTAGTATTACCTTGAAATAAACTAGAATCGAAGCAAAATATGTTTTCCCCTAATCAAATACAGTTCAGTTTCTGTGACATCCCCTGAAAATCACAAATCGTAGTTCAAATGTTTTTTTTTCAATCGGATGCACCGATTATTATAAGGAATAACGTATGATTAAGTTTCCCTAGCAATTATGACAAACATCTTACTAGTACAGAGGATGCTGATGACGTTGTAGGTGTAAAGACATATGGTTGAGTGCGTGAGTTAGTTTGGTTTTAAGTCGCTTTGAGCAGTATTCCAGCAATTTAACGGCGAGGGACACCAGAAATGGGCTTCACACATTGTACCCATGTTGGAAATCGAACCTGGGTCCTCGGCGTGACGAGCAAACGCTTTGACCACTAGGCTAGGTTGAGAGGGACACTTGGTGACACTTAGAATACTCATCAGACGTCGCGTCATCGCTCAATGTGAGAATGTTTTCTCAACTAACTTCAAACTGAATGACAGTTCATGTTAAGAGCGTTACCTTACCCATACGTGATGCTTGTTTATAAATATCATTTGTATTAATATTACATTACACACAGCTCTGTGTGCATGTCTGTTACCTCTGAATCGTTTATGTCATGGACGCAAATTAAATAGCGAGCAAAGTAATACATTTCTTCATAGAATGGTTCATGTTTAAACACTGGAATAATTTCTATTTCTTCAGTGGTACCTACATGTCACAATGCCCCATGGTTTCGTGATTCTAGTAACTGGAAAACAAAAATGAGAGGAATGTTTATTAAGATCTAGGGTACACACAATAACACTCTGTCTTCTGAACACTGTCTGCAGAACAATGACTTCAATTGATTGTTATCAGGTTATTTGACATCTGAAAATGTAACAGGAATGTTGTGACAGCAAGGATTTGTTTGTTTGTTTGTTGTTTAGCGCCACAGCCATCAATATTCGAAGTGTATGATGGCCGTCTGTTAATATTCAAGTCTAGACCAGACAATACAGAGATTGACATCATGAGAATCGATCCACGCAATTAGGATACGATGAAATGCATCAACCAAGTCAGCGAGTCTGACCACCCGATCGCGTTAGTCGCCTCTTCCAACAAGCATAGTCGCCTTTTACGACGAGCATTGGTTATGAGTAAGAAAATTATGTTGGTTGGTTTTGTTGGTTTGTTGTTGTACGCCGCACTCAGCAATATTCCAGCTATATGACAGCGGTCTGTAAATAATTTACGGCAAGCATGGGTTGGTGAAGACCTATTCTACCCCGGAATCTTCACGGGTCAAGAACCTTATGTGAAGGGTGGAGATTTGTATTTAGATATCTTTGAAAGCTTCACCTCGATGTGCCGCCTGCCAGTGGCATGTGTTTTGTCTTTTTAATATTGGCTAGCATAACGTACAGCCGATGGTGTCCAAAGTGATGGCATAAATCCTGCTTGGAGTCCTGCAGAAAGCGAAAGTAATGAGAGTCCCCATTTAAATTTGATCTGGTTTGTTTTATACTTCAATTGTGATATTAACACTACTAATTTGTCGCCCTTTAAAGATCCGGGGTAGAATTGGTCTTTAGCAACCCATGCTTGCCGTAAAAGGTGACTATGCTTGTTGTAAAGGGCGACTAACGGGACTGACTGACTTGGTTGACGCATGTGATCGATCCCAATTGCGTGAGCGATGCTCATGATATTAATCACTGGATTGTCTGGTCTAGACTCGATTATTTACCCACCGCCGTCATATAGCTGGAATATTGCTGAGTGCGGCGTTAAACAACAAAATATAATCAACCATTTGATTGTCCTTTGTTGACAGCAATTTAGAAAGTATTATCTTGTTCTCATCGCAATATTGCCGATGCTTTTTTAACTTACTCACTCACTAGTACTGATGTGTCATATACATGTTTAGTTTGTCATTAAAGGGTATCAGACATATCATTACATATGTCTAAATTACAGTTGTGTTGTTCTAAAATCCCCTTGATAACGTATATGAAAACATCAACAAAGAAAACAAATTTAGATATTCATTTTTCCATCGATGAATGGTTGAGCTGTCATAGACATATGGTACATCCAGGTCTTCCTGAGAATAATTCTGTCGAAATATTGTTTTGTGGTTTGTATTATTTACATACTAATTGAAATGTCCGAGTCAGTCATTCCTTGTAACGCTGAAACCATAAAACAAATAAACAGTTAAACAAGGACTCATGATGAAAAACAACAACATCATTTTATACTCAGCAATATTCCAGCTATATGACGGCGGTATGTAAATAATCGAGTCTGGACCAGACAATCCAGTGATTGACATGAGCATCGATCTACGCAATTGGGATACACTGGCATGCATCAACCCAGTCAGCGAGCCTTACCACCCGATCCCGTTAGTCGCCTTTTACGACAAGCATAGTCGCCTTTTACGTCAAGCATGGGTTGCTGAAGACCTATTCTAACCCGGATTTTCCTGGGATAGCAGTATTCAATATATATGTTCATTTTTATTTTTTCATCTAGTGCATTAATTAAAGATCAAACTTCTCGGAAATTCATAGCTGGGCCTGAACATTGATATGGATATTCATATTTTACACCTTTAACTTTAAGGCATTAATACGGTAAGGACATTAGTGAGCGGTACTCCTTTCTTCTCGTTTTATTTGCCTCGTACCGGGTGCGCCCGTGTAAATAAACCGTTTCTGAGTACTTACTGGTCCCGGGGACGCTAAGAGAATTTTTCCTCCTTGATATCAAATTTGACACTTATGGACAAAGTGCTTGACACAATGGCAGTTACTTGTCGACAATCGCTGGGCAAGCATGAACTAGAAGGATTAGAGACAGGCGGAATTTTACCATACATGTACTCACGTTTTATGAGGTCGCCGATCTTATAATCACGGAACACTGAAACGGAGAAATAATTGCGTTTATTGATAGCCAATTGACATCGCCATCTTGCCTTCAAAGAAGTTTATAATTTCCTTCTGCATATATTGTAACTTCTTTATTATCTTTCGTATTCTGAAGTCAGTTCTCAATAACAGGAGAATATTTCCATCAAGTACGTTCACTTGATTTTATCCAATTCATATTGTTTTCTTTCAACCCGGGGCTTTAGTTCTGTCTGTGGAGAAACTCTATTCCTCATAAGTGAGTGTTTATTTGTTGTTTAACGCCGCACTCAGCAATATTCCAGCTATAAAATATATGACGGCGGACTGTAAATAATCCAATAATCACGAGCATCGATCTGACCACCCGATCCCGTTAGTCGCCTCTTAAAAGAAAACAATATGAATGTGACAAAATCAAGTGAACGTACTTGGTGGAAATATTCGACTGTTACTGGGAACTGACATCAGAATACGAAAGACAACAAGAGTTTGCCACTAACGTGGCTATATCCTCCGCCCCTGTTGCAGAATTTATGACATAATTAAATCTAAACAAACCCTAACCTTTTTTGAACCGAGGTGGAACTTGTCATGGAAATTGTAAAAAAAAGAAGAAGTCCATCTTGTTGCCATGGAAACGTAAAAAAATAAAAAATTCTAAAATTTCTAAATAGCAAAAGGCACCAGTTCTGCATGTACTTGACAGACCTGCAAAGTTTCGTGAAAAATATATTGAACGGTTTCTGAGTTATGCTCCGGAAACGAAACGTGACGGACGGACTGAGCCCGTTTCTATATCCCCCGCCAACTTTGTTGGGCGGGGCATAATAATGGAAGTTACAATATATGCAGATGAAAAATAAAAACTTTTTTTACGGCAAGATGGGGGTGTCAATTGGCTATCAATAAAAACAAAATTTAGTGAGTGGGAATGGTATTACGCCACTGTGAGCAATAATTCAACAACATCACGACAGGGGACACCAGAAATGGGCTTTACACATTGTACATATGTAGGCAATCGAAAACGGGCCTTCGGCGTGATGAGTGAACGCTTCAACCACAAGGCTATCCCACCAGCCCTATTTCTCATATACATAGTATTGATGTTAAGTAACATGATTTTGACTATTCTGTCACATTCAGACATACCGAGTCACTGTATATAGCCATTACCTACCTTTAACCATCTCGCTAGGAGTCTGGACGTCAAAAGCTAAATAAAACATACATCTCTTTGATTAAAATAATCATTATAATTAATGTAAGTGGCTTTTGATTCAATATGATATATGAAAATGTTTAGTCCTCGTATACCGTCTGTTTGTTGTTTAACGCTGCACTCAGCAATATTCCTGCCGTCATATAGCTGGAATATTGCTGAGTGCGGCGTTAAACAAAAAAACAAACCAGTATATGAGGACTTAACATTTTGCATTGTTTTACATGTTTTTTTTACCATTTAAAGAGGAATATATTGTATCTGTTATAGTGTCAGTTTTATAAGAATATAAGGAAACGATACCAAAATATCCCCCTCAGGAAATCGATTTCATGCTTACGTATTTTTCAATTCATTTGCATTTTTCACACTTACTTTTTTCCATCAATCCATCAATCATCGAGTGTCCTGAATATAAATAATTTTGTGTATGTAATCCAATCAATTGTGTTTCAAAATTCATATGATGTTTACATTTTCACCATCTTTGTGAATGTCGGTGTAAATGACTTCAACTGGTTTATTCATGGTCTGTACATCAAACATTCACGACCATGTTTCTCGTGTCAAGGTTTGAATACTGCTACTGCTACTGAAATATTACATAGGTAGTTATTGGAGTATGTTTTGTGGCAAATGTTCACATAAGTTTTTTTTGTTTGTTTGTTGTTTGAAGCAAATGAGGAGGTTTTTTTTGTAGGGAATGCCCTGACAATGAACTCCTCTTATGTTAATATGACGAGGTGAGTGAGTGAGTGAGTACGGCTTTACGCCGCTTTTAGCAATATTCCAGCAATATCACGGCGGGGGACACCAGAAATGGGCTTCACACATTGTACCCATGTCGGGAATCGAACCCGGGTCTTTGGCGTGACGAGCGAACGCTTTAACCACTAGGCTACCCGACCGCCCTATGACGAGGTGAAATCGGAGAGGTGGAGACTTGTATTGGTATGGTCAGAGGTTCTGGGAGAGGGATGCGCTTGGTTTGTCTCATTAGTTGGTTGGTTGGTTGTTTAACGCCGCACTCAGCAATATTCCAGCTATGTGACGGCGGTCTGTAAATAATCGAGTTTGGACCAGACAATCCCGTGATTGACATCATGAGCATCGATCCATGCATTTGGGATCGATGACGTGCATCAATCAAGTCCGCGAACCTGACCACCCGATCCCCTTAGTCGCCTGTTACGGCACGCATGGTCGCCTTTTACGGCAAGCATGGGTTGCTGAAGACCTATTCTATCCCGGATCTTCACGGTTCTCGCACAAGTTAAACGAATTTACAATTCGCATTGATAAGTTAAGATAATGGTGAGTAATATACTTCTAAAAGTCACTAAAGGATATATTACTAAGCTTCACATTTACCAATTTTTACAGATAATTAAATATAAGACTAGTGTATATCAAATGAATACAAGATAACAATTGAGGTTGGCGAGTTCGTTTTTCAAAATTTTACATTTTATGTCGCATCGCCAATGTCTCATCCATACTGTCGCTGTTGATGCAAGATCAAGTGTTGAAATTGAAGCTGTGATTTACTAATTAAAGCCCTTTCCACTTGGTGCAATGGATCCGGATGCTATGAATCTGGTGTGTTAAATATAGAATAAAGCCCCGTTGATGTACTCATATCTTGCGTGTTAAATATTGAAAAAAAACCCGTTGATGTACTCATATCTGGTGTGTTAAATATAAAATAAAACCCCGTTGATGTACTCATATCTGGTGTGTTAAATATAAAATAAAACCCCGTTGATGTACTCATATATGGTGTGTTAAATATAGAATAAAACCCCGTTGATGTACTCATATCTTGCGTGTTAAATATAAAAGAAAACCCCGTTGATGTACTCATATCTGGTGTGTTAAATATAAAATAAAGCCCCGTTGATGTACTCATATCTGGTGTGTTAAATATAAAATAAAACCCCGTTGATGTACTCATATCTTGTGTGTTAAATATAGAATAAAACCCCGTTGATGTACTCATATCTGGTGTGTACAATATAGAATAAAACCCCGTTGATGTCCTCATATCTGGTGTGTGAAATATAAAATAAAGCCCCGTTGATTTACTCATATCTGGTGTGTGAAATATAAAATAAAGCCCCGTTGATGTACTCAGTTGTATTCTTCAAAATGTAGGGATCATGAAATATTGATTTTATTATCTGTCGTCAGAAGAAAGGTCATCATTGAAAACTGACTACCAAAACCTAACGCCCCAACACACACGAAACATGGGACGTGCTATTCCTCCGTCCACGTGGGTATGGGGCCATTCTTGATCTTGCGACTTCAGTGAAAGGTTTGTTTTTTTGTTTTTTTTGTTTCTTGCTTAACGCCGCACTCAGCAATATTCCAGCTATATGGCGGCGGTCTGTAAATAATCGAGTCTGGACCAGACAATCCAGTGATTGATATCATGAGCATCGATTCACGCAATTGGGATACGATGACAACCAAGTCAGCAAGCCTGACCACCCGGTATCGTTAGTCGCCTCTTACGACAAGCATATTCGCCTTGTACGGCAAGAGGGTGAAGTGTATTTTTTACCACGTCAAATTTAAGGTCGCTATTTTAAATACTATCAATGCAAACAGCAAAGGTTGAAAGTGAAGCTGACTATTACAATTTAGTCACTTTTTTATGCAAGTCATTAGTGCAACATGTTCTTTTAATGAGCAGAAAGAAGTCACTGTGCTCATATATACATTCATAAATACATGAAAGTGATAAAGGTTAACGATTTCATGTGCTGAGAAGAATTGCTTGCCTAATTACAAATATATCAATATCAAACACATTACATTGCATTGTCTATGTAAAATTATGTGGTTGTACATACGGTTTTCCGTCTCATCCGCACCTACAGCGCCGAGAACTGAAACATAATGTGTTAAGTACTGAACATACAGTGCCATTTAGAAAGTGGTCAAATGTAACAAATATTTTATTTAGGATAACTCTTTCGTAATACAGATTCTAGTATTTTTTTGTGTTGAGTCCAATCCTGTATTCGAACCCACACTGCCATAGTAAGGCACCTCATCGCCAGCACACAAAGTCAGCGATCTTTATAATGCACTCAACCTCCGAGGTTTCCACAAAATGAAAGTCCGACGACTGGTAGTCTAGATCACATATTTTGTGTAGACCCGGCTCTCATTGCCGAAAGCTATGAACATACAATACCATTTAGAAAGTGGTCAAATGTAACTAATGTTATATTTGGGGTAACCCTTTTTTAGTTAAGTACAGAATCCCATTCGGGATTCGAACCCACACTGTAATCGCCAGCACACAAAGTCAGCGATCTAAACCACTCAGCCACCGAGAATGATGAATGAAATATCCTTGCTGGTGTCACTGTAACTGAAAGCTATTGCTCAAAAAGGGGTTTCAAATATTAGATTTAGCATCATTCAATGCTGCAGGAAATACTGACAGACTATAGTAGGCGTATATTCGTGTTGCCATGACAGAATCAACTCCGAATGATACGTTAGCGAAGATGAGAGACGTGTCCTGGGTTGTCTAATCTTGTAGGTTGCTAGACGAATTGGATAATTGAGTAAACAATACTCACCTGGAATTATTATACACATAGTTGTAACCTTAAATTTGGGTTTTCCCATAGCGGCACTACAAACTACACGTGAGGCACAACTGACGTGCAGTTATCAACTCATTATTAGTAACTTTAACATTGGGTTTTCCCATAGCGGCACTACAAACTACAGGTGAGGCACAACTGACGTGCAGTTATGAACTCATTAGTTGTAACTTTAACATTGGGTTTTCCCATAGCGGCACTACAAATTACAGGTGAGGCACAACAGACCTTGTAACTTTAACATTGGGTTTTCCCATAGCGGCACTACAAACTACAGGTGAGGCACAACAGACCTTGTAACTTTAACATTGGGTTTTCCCATAGCGGCACTACAAACTACAGGTGAGGCACAACAGACCTTGTAACTTTAACATTGGGTTTTACCATAGCGGCACTACAAACTACAGGTGAGGCACAAAGGCGCGCAGTACATCAACTCATCAGTTGTAACTTTAACATTGGGTTTTCCCACAGCGGCACAACAAACTACACGTGAGGCACAACAGACCTTGTAACTTTAACATTGAGTTTTCCCATAGCGGCACTACAAACTACATGTGAGGCACAACAGAAGTGCAGTACATCAACTCATTAGTTGTAAATTTAACATTAGGTTTTCCCATAGCGGCACTACAAACTGCATGTGAGGCACAACAGAAGTGCGGTACATCAACTCATTAGTTGTAAATTTAACATTAGGTTTTCCCATAGCAGCACTACAAACTATCCGTGAGGCACAACAGCCGCGCAGTACATCAACTCATTAGTTGTAACTTTAACATTGGGTTTTCCCATAGCGGCACTACAAACTACAGGTGAGGCACAACAGACGTGCAGTACATCAACCCATTAGTTGTAACTTTAACATTGGGTTTTACCATAGCGGCACTACAAACTACAGGTGAGGCACAACAGACTAGTAGTACATCAACTCATTAGTTGTAAATTTAACATTGGATTTTCACATAGCGGCACTACAAACTACATGTGAGGCACAACAGACGTTGTAACTTTAACATTTGGTTTTCTCACAGCAGCACTACAAACTACACGTGATGCACAACAGACGTGCAGTACATCAACTCATTAGTTGTAACTTTAACATTGGGTTTTCCCATAGCGGCACTACAAACTACATGTGAGGCACAACAGACGTGCAGTACATCAACTCATTAGTTGTAACTTTAACATTGGGTTTTCCCATAGCGGCACAACAAACTACAGGTGAGGCACAACAGACGTGCAGTACATGAACTCATTAGTTGTAACTTTAACATTGGATTTTCCCATAGCGGCACTACAAACTACAGGTGAGGCACAACAGACGTGCAGTACATCAACTCATTATGAAGTACTCGCACAAAAACTGATCGCCCTATGCTTGTTTCAACGTTGAAACAGAATTCCTTGTAGTGACGTAATAAATGTGACGTCACAATCACAGATAGCAATGCGCCAAAGTTTCAAATTCTTCATGTTTTTCTTAGTCTTATTTCATAGGGATTTCTGCCACAAATATATCACCATCCATGCTTAGTTGAAATGTTAGGTGCAAGTATTAAACTGTTCATTTGGATCAAACTCAATTCAGTGCTTGCGTCATTTCATGAATATTCAATGAATACATGTTACATGGCTGTTTTAAGAAAATAACTATTTGCATCCATGCATAATCTCCGTTGTACCTGGGTTCGATCTGCTTTTATAAGAACCTGGATGCACGGGTGGCCCAGTTTTGCAGGGTTGCGTCCCTTTGGGCACGCCAGACACCGATGATCATGGATTCAAATCGCGGTTTCTCCCAAATATGTTCCCCGGAATGTCACCATATCTGTTCTCGTGGGTTTCAACGACGTCGTAAACATCTAAGACCTGCATCACTTCGGGTTTTCCTCCCACATTAAGCTGACACGCCGTGATATAACCGGAATACTGTTTGAAAAGCGGCTTTAAACCCAACACACACACACACACACACACACACACACACACACACACACACACACACACACACACACACACACACACACACACACACACACACACACTCACTCTCTTACTAAAATGACCTAGTTACAAATACATTGGACATAAATATTCATGGTATTAACGTCTCTTCTATTATGTTTGAACTTAGAAAACTTTGACGGGAATGCAAATATGACTATTATTTTTGCAATGTTTAGTATAAATGCCTTTACTCAGTTCACATCTATAGTAGACCTATGCAGAGACCTAATATGCAAGAAAGGAAATTCAAAACAAAAACTTACCAAGAACTAAGAGGACCAGTGATTGCATGGCAGTCGTGGTTCAAACGGAAGATCACGATGAAATATTTGTGTTGCAGGGAATTTCACTTAAATAGCTATATGCTACCAATTTCAACAATTAATTTCATGAAATTAGATTTAATTTTCGTCTTTTACGATTCTAATTTTCAGGATAGAAATAGAACATGTAGTATCAGGTTGCTTTTGTAATGTGTAATCGACACAGCTTTATGCAAATGTATTCAAAGTACAGCCCATATCAAATGATACCAAGTTAATAAAAAGCACAAATCATATGTAAATCATATTTGACGCCTTGAAATGACAATTAAATATATGCTCGAAAAAATAAACGCAAACGTGTTTTTCACGAGATCCATTCCGACGTCCACATGGTTGTAAAGTGAGTCAGTGTGGTTTTCACGAGATCCATTCCGACGTCCACATGGTTGTAAAGTGAGTCAGTGTGGTTTTCACGAGATCCATTCCGACGTCCACATGGTTGTAAAGTGAGTCAGTGTGTTTTTCACAAGAACCATTCAGACGTCCACATGGTTGTAAAGTGAGTCAGTGTGTTTTTCACGAGAACCATTCAGACGTCCACATGGTTGTAAAGTGAGTCAGTGTGGTTTTCACGAGATCCATTCCGACGTCCACATGGTTGTAAAGTGAGTCAGTGTGGTTTTCACGAGATCCATTCCGACGTCCACATGGTTGTAAAGTGAGTCAGTGTGGTTTTCACGAGATCCATTCCGACGTCCACATGGTTGTAAAGTGAGTCAGTGTGGTTTTCACGAGATCCATTCCGACGTCCACATGGTTGTAAAGTGAGTCAGTGTGGTTTTCACGAGATCCATTCCGACGTCCACATGGTTGTAAAGTGAGTCAGTGTGGTTTTCACGAGATCCATTCCGACGTCCACATGGTTGTAAAGTGAGTCAGTGTGGTTTTCACGAGAACCATTCCGACGTCCACATGGTTGTAAAGTGAGTCAGTGTGGTTTTCACGAGAACCATTCCGACGTCCACATGGTTGTAAAGTGAGTCAGTGTGGTTTTCACGAGATCCATTCCGACGTCTACATGGTTGTAAAGTGACTCAGTGTGGTTTAAGGCCGCCTTTAACAATATTCCCGGTATGCTTACTGTGGGAAGAAAAATTGAGGTGATGCAGGTCTCAGCCGTTTACCACATTGGAGAAATCACTGACGCACTGGTATGGTGCTGACAAACCTAGAAACGTAATCGGGGCGAACCCAAGGCATGCAACACACAGCGAAATGCTGCTTCCTTGACGACAGGGACACCCGTATCTCCAAGTTTTAAAAGCGATAAGGTGTCAAGTGTGTGTTCGGAAGATTACAAACTGAAACCTAATTCATACACGTTAACAGATAAGTATTTGCATGTGCCGGTTACATATCTCAAGTATGGCAGTCGTAAGCATAGCATCTCGTACGTCCGTCATTGAATGACTGCATGACACATCTTCCCCATGCAATCAAGAAGAGCTTGGCCAAATCGCTGCAGATGCTGTGTTTGACGTTGTCGTTGACGTCTTTCGAGCAAATGCCTCATATGTTCAATTCGTTTGAGATCGGGGATTTTCTTAGATTCTTTCAAGAAACGATTATCGTCACCATAACGCACACATGTTAAGTTGCCCTGCATATGAACGAGATATGTGACAGATATCTTCCCCATCACGACACTTCCCCAACTATGTAAGCGACACCGCTGCAACCGTTGGAGTCGATTACGTTAACGTAAATTAACGCCAGATTCAGGCAGTACGTAAGCGGTTACGTACATTCTGTGCAGATCTGGTACTTAAACCAGGAATTTGTGTTTCAGTGTTCGTTGCATCAGAACAATGTGTTAAAAAAGACATGTGTCACAAATTTGCCTCACTAACTCGAGAGAATCCCTTGATATGAAGACGATAAACACACTTGTGATACTTTATCAGTAAATATATTAACAAAACGTCAACATCAATGTAGACTAATTTTCATGTAGCAGTGGATTTTGATAATATTGTTGCAACCCATGCCTTTCCTTTTTAGGAGAGTATATGATCTAGACTCGAGTCACTTGGTATTAATGAGTGATTTCAATGAACACATTTGAGACCCGTGAAGATTCCGGGGTAGTATAGGTCTGCAGCAACCCATGCTTGCCGTAAAAGGTGACTTTGCATTTCGTAAAAGGCGACTAACGGGAACGGGTGGTCAGGCTCGGTGACTTGGTTGATGCATGTCATCGATCCCAATTGCGTTGATCGATGCTCATGATATTAATCACTTGATTGTCTGGTCCAGACTCGATTATTTACAGACCGCCGTCATATAGCTGGAATATTGCTGAGTGCGGCGTTAAACAACAAACCAACAACAACCAACAACATATTTTTCTATTCATGAATACCTCAGCATATTTTCATGAACGCTTGAATTTGACAAGTTTCTCATTTAAAACTTTCTATTTCTAACCCAACAGGTACCACCCAGAATGTATTAAAAATATTTATTCTTGACTAAATGAGATATGTGATATGTGTTTGATATAAATCTTATTCATTATTAAAAAGGTGGAGTCTCTTCTCTGAACACGTGTTACTCATTAGTTTGACAAGTTTCTCATTTAAAACTTTCTAATTCTAACCCAACAGGTTCCACCCAGGAGGTATTAAAAATGTTTATTCTTGACTAAATGAGATATGTGATATGTGTTTGATATAAATCTTAATTATTATTGAAAAAGGTGGAGTCTCTTCTCTGAACACGTGTTACTCATTTGGTTTGAGGATCAGTGTCCGGAAGACTTCCACTCAGTTTTACGGTGTTTAGCAGTTGACAAGGCGTAGTAAGGTTCATCCCGACATAAAGAGTATCGATAACAATAGGAATAAATAGGAACCATATCTGTATTTTAATCCGATGTGTTTGAAACATGTTTTATATATTTCGTTGAAATTAGTAGGGCAGACAAATCAAAACTAGATTATACGCTCTCTCCGAATTAGATTACTAAAGATTTTTGGTCTGTCATGGAGTTATGGTAATTGTCCTGAGTTCGAATCCAATAATGGGCTTTAATAAGTTCGGCCCACTAGCTCATTGTGCTATGTCCGAAGTAGATAATTAAATATGTTTAGAGGATTCACAAAAACAAATTACGTGATCGATAATATACTCAACCGCAAAAGAAACGTCACCCCAAGTAACATTGCATGAAAAGTTGTCATTGAAATATCTAGGTATTTTTGGTCAAATTTTCACGACAATTGCCATGTTAACCCGATGCACGTGAGTTCCGCGCAAAATGAAATGCACATGCGTTCCCCCATTTCTTGCCCTATAAAAATCCACCCAGATCGGATAACAGTCATTCGTTATTGAATTGCTACCACACGCCAAGATTGACAAGAAGTCAGCGACACCAAGACCCAGCAAGTAGCCAACGCATTTCAAGTTCACGTAAGGACCATGTACAGGCTCCAGCAACGGTACCAGATCACCACCACTACAGATGACCGACCATGTAGTGAAAGACCAAGGGTCACCACCCGACGTCATGATCGTCAGATTGTGCGACAGCAACTTCAAGATCGCTGTGGAAACTGCTCGACAGACCATGGGGACAACCAGCCACGCGGACACCATTAGCGCGGACACCATGCGTCGGCGATTGACGAGCAGACACTCCAGTGTCACAGGCCACATCGAGGACCCATTCTGACACCACGTCATTGCCGGGACCGTCTTCAGTGGACAACACAGCACCAGCATTGGCGCCACAAGCAGTGGAGAAGAGTCCTCTTCTCAGACGAGAGCCGTTACTGTATCTCAGCAGCAGATAGCGACGCCGTGGGAAACGTTATTCGGATGCTTGTGTTGTTGAGAGAGACTCGTGGGTGGTCCGAGTATCATAGTATGGGTTGGAATTTGTCTTGCACAGAGGGTCGGCCCTGTGGTCTTCCAGAACATCGGTACAGGGAGAGCCAATGGTGTCATAGCAGCTCGGTACATTGATCAAGTCTTGAGACCACACGCCATACCTCATTTGGCACGTCGCCACAACCACGTGTTTCAGCATGATAACACCCGTGCCCACACTGCAAGAGCAACAAGAGACTTCCTCCATCAGAATCGCATCAGAACCATGCAGTGGCCTGCCCTCAGTCCCGATTTAAATCCCATTGAGCACCTGTGGGACGAGATTCAAGGACGGCTGAATGACGTCCGACCAAGGCAGACAACTGCAGCTGAACTGCATCAGGCGTACCTCAGAGTGTGGGCTCAAGTGCCTATGGCCTTCATGAACTGCCTCATCCATTACATGTATCGACCTTAGACGGCAGTCATCAGTGCCCACGGCGGACACACGAGATACTGACTTGTGGTGCCATTTTCTCAGAGACTAGTGTTGTGTTTCACTCTGAGAACATTTGACACTATAATTTCAACCTTGATGATCAGTTTTGCCATTTTTCATCTTTTTAATATGTCTCAAAGTATGTTTACAGTGTTTGGACAAATGACGATTCTCATATATCTACCCATAGTGACGTTTCTTTTGCGGTTCAGTATATTTGGTTTGTTTGTTTGTTTGTTGCTGAGCAACGCACTCTGCAATATTCCAGCTGTATGACGACAGTCTATAAATATTGCAATATGGGCCCGACAATCCAGTGTGTGTGTGTGTGTGTGTGTGTGTGTGTGTGTGTGTGTGTGTGTGTGTGTGTGTGTCTGCTTCTACTTGTCCGGACTAATGCCACAAGTGAAGATTCCGGGGTAGAATAGGTCTTCAGAAACCCATACTTGCCGTAAAAGGCAACTGTGCTTGTCGTAAGAGGCGACTAACGGGATCGACTTCGGGTTTATACATGTCATCTATCCCATTTGCGTAGATCAATGCACATGATGTCAATCACTGGATTGTCAGGTCCAGACTCGATTATTTTACAGACCGCCGTCCTGAATATTGATGAGTGTGGCGTAAAACAAAAAAACACAAAAAACACAAATACCGAATTTCCAATACAGTTTCCACTG